AGAAAGTTCGGGTCGCTGCACCGATGCGTATTTGCGAACGGAATACTGGAGTTTGGAGTGGGGGGAAGGCGTCCGGAGCGCTGGGAGGTTGAGAAGTCAAAGTGCCTTCTCTTTTAACGGGCAGGAATTAAATCGGTCCGGAGGTCCCGTGTGAGGAGGTGTGCATGTAATTCCGACTAGCGTAGTCGGAATTGCAAAATTAAAACTGATGTCTAAAGTCCAGAAGCCAAGAAAAATAACTAATTGTTTTTCTGAGGCTGTAAACTGCCAGCATATTCACTTAAAATAAAAGTCTTTTTGCAGTTTATTTGGGTTGTTTAAGACATTGTTCTGCAGCAGATGTTTATCGTCCAATCTTAATTTGCATCTAGCACCGCTTAATTTCAGTAGAAATATGTATTGCAATGTGCTGCTGTTCTCAAAAGTCTTTTCTTTTCGTGGGATTACCAGGGTGTGCCTGATAAATTACATGTGCTCACTTTTAATTTGGAGAAATTTTACAAATACATAAAATATGAAAAAGATTGTCTTTGGATATGCATTCTTGTCTTTCCCTTTACTGTTTTAAAATTGTCATTTGTGGCCAAAGCGCATGGCCGTGCATGGAAGAGAAGAGAGAGCTGCAGTATGTGTGGTGGTGGTGGTGAAGGGACATCCAGGTTTCTTGGTCAAGTGTGTTTATGGATATTTGGAAAGCTGAAAAATATGATTCCAGCCAAATTGCAGTGAGTGTACTAAATGCATAGCATCATGTGTTCTTGTGCAGGCAAAAGTAGACTACAGAAAGTTAAGTCGTATTCTCACTTTATTCTCACTTGTTGCTCTGACTTTCTGTGAAAAATGAGAACAGTTTGGCTCACTTTTTTGAACACAGGCATTTCTTACTTCTTGTAGATATAAAGTACCCAGTGACTCATGAGATGGTAAAAGCCTGCATCTCCTGTGGGACTCTTACCAGAGTGCCCACTGGGTACAAAGAATGGAGATGTACAGGAGATTGTTGCTGAAGGGTTTTGGCATTCCCATTATCAGAAGTTCCATGTTGCTTCCTGGCATTAGGGATTACACATTTGCAAATGAAAATTGCAGGCCAGGAGAGCTCATGAGAGATGTAACCCTCAGTTTCTGCCTGTACCGCTGTGTGGTTGGGGCTGCTGAGGACAGTGGAGGTGTGTCTTGCCATAGAGCAGGTCAAGGGTTTCTGGCCTTCCACACAGCATTTTTTCATGGCATGTGTGGCACAGGGACCATACAGACCCTCGTGGACCCTAGGGATGTGAGCTGTGGTAGAGAGCCCCTGCTCCAAGCTGAAAGGATGCTTGCCTTTAGTAGGATCCTTGACCTCTGCAGCAGACCACATTAATCACTGCAGAAACCCCAAAGCATGCTGATGGGTCCAAAGATTACCCAGGAGGGGGAATATCATGTACTTGTGGCTGATCCCAACTCCTCTCTCCATCCTTGGAGCAGGGAGGATGAAGGTCAGCCAAATAGCTGGAGGAGGCAGCTCAATTGTCCTCCACATGACTGTGGTTCTTGACATTGTACCACTATCTTTGAGTAATTTAGCAAACAGTGTTTCAGCCATCACATTGCAAGAAAGTATAGCCAGATTGCCCCTGCACTGCAGAGAGGGTTATCTTCGAAGTAGTACCTGCTGGTATGATGATAGGGATCCTTGGGTTTGCTTTAGTGGGAATAAAACTCATTGACAGCAGTTTGAAGTGCTTGGGGTGCTGGGGTACCTAACCCTGGCAATGCTGGGCAAACGACATACCAGGGGCAGGTTCTTCAGGTTAATTTTTAAATATTTTGGACTGAGGTCCGTACTTTCCACCTAGTATGTGACTGTTGCAAGCATGTTTTGAGGAGTAAATCATAGAGCTGTCACAAAGCAGTGACCCAGGTTATCCTGGACCTGACTGTTGCTGTCTTGTTATTGTAATGCACATCCAACATTAATTTTTCTAAGGGTTAAAAAATGAATGTGCTGAGTTACTGGCTACAAAGCAGGAGGCAAACAAAAGAAGAATATGGCTGAAAGGTATGAATCGGAAATGTTGCTGCCAGAAGAGAATGAATTTTAATTTATTGTGTCATTATTTGTAGTAACTTTCAAGTGGCTTGTACTTGATACTCATTCCATGAGAGTACTGGCAAATGATAATGTTAAAACCTTTAGTGCCTTCTCACTTGCCTGTCAGAGGTAAAGATTTACTTTTCTGATACTAAGTTTGCTGTAATATCTGTAAGAGAAGTAATTGCAAACAGTGAAAGAGACAGTGTAGGATTTCTGCTGGTTGAGTGCATTGTCCATCCCTTCAGCCAGGGGAACTGGTAGAGCACCATTACCTTTAGTAGTGTCATGACAGCTCACATCTGCTGAGTTTGGTGGATAAACTCCTAAGTCTGGCATATAACTTTTTTTACAGAAAGAAATGTGGTTGCCTTTTGATAGACCAGTGTGATAACTCACTTGAAAAAGACTTACAGAAACATTTATTTTGTGCATGTGGTGCTCTTAGATGCTAGGTGTGTTATTTTCTCAGGCAGCCATCAGCCAGTCTGGTGAGTATTGCTGGTTGAGCTATTGTTAACAAATACTTTTCTAGTAAAATGTAATTGTTTATTTTACAGTGGAAAGCACTTGTGATTCATATGGACACAGTGGGATTTTGTTACAAGCCAATTCAATGAAAGACTCTGACAGTTTATGTGATAACAGTGTATATATAGATAGTAACTGAATTACAATTAGACTGAACCTTAGCTGAGGTGAAGTTGTTCTGTTGAAGACCTTCACTGTTACCACACTTCAGAAAAGTTTAACTTGAGGGCCCAGTTCTGCTCCTGGGAAATGCATGAGGTGGTTGCTGTCATCTTCAGAGTGAAAAAAGGACTGAGGACACCAAGCAACACTTGTGTTTCTTGGATGTCTCCTCCAGTGGGTCCCTTCAGCCAATGTAGTTTGGACCTATGAACTAGAGTGGGGAAATTATAGTGGGTAAATAGTAAATTATTTTCTCAGAAAATAACCTTGAGTCATCCTGAGTATGCTAAATAATTAAAGTCAATTCACGGGAGGGTTTTGTCAGATTACATCTTTTCTGTAGGAGTCCAGGAAAAGGCAGGGTGGGAAAATAGGTGTGGGTCAGCCTTTAAATCTCTTTACATTTATCTGGGATGTGTTTACTCCCTGCCTTGAGCTCAGAAGTCACTTGAAAATGCATCCCTAACTTTTCAAGTGCCCAAGACAGATGCTGGGATAGCAGTGGCTCACACATTTTTCTGATCTTAAGAAACCTGTGAATCACAGAACATGAAATGGATCAGGTTGGAAGGGACCTTAATGATCATGTAGCTTCATCCCCCCTTCCCTTGATACCCATCCTGAAAGTGTCTTTGATGTGTTTGGAAAATGCTCATGACCCTCAAGTAAACAAATGGTAAGGTCAAAAGCTCTAGCTCTTAAAAAGTTCCCTAAACTAAGCTGTTTAATTTTGGGTCAATAGAAAGTTCTTATAGCTTTATATTACAAATTCTTATTTTATTACCTTTCCCAGAAAAAAAGAAAAATTGCCAGTTTGGTTCAGATGAAACTAGTTCTTTCCTCATCTCCATCCTGGCGTTCTTGAAAAAATGAGAAATTGTCTATTTGTTCATTCTCAGTGCTTACATTTGGGGCGTGAGCATGGATGCTCATTGGAGTAGAGAGCAACTATCCTGTAACATTTCTGGTAAAACAGATAGTGCTTCTGATATCTTCTGATATTTTTACAAAGCTGTGCTGATCTCTTCTGATGTTTATATATGGCAATGGAAGAAAGATTGGAGGATCTGCTGTGAAAATGCAACCTTGAAGTCCATAGGAAAACTTTGAAGTGTAATCTAAGTCATAACTTAAAGAAAATCAGAATTTCTGAGAAGGACTAGTAAAGTTGGTGTTACTAATTATTTTTTTAAACAAGAACATAAAATGTATGTGTTATATACAAGGTGGGGGAAGGGAAAAAAGGGAGGGAAGGAACAAAGATTGAAGTGGATCATAAAGAAAAGCAATACTTACAAAGATATGACTTTCTGTGTTTATTTTAGAAAAGGTAGCAGAAATCCAACTAATTGAAATGAGGAGTAGGACTGATTTTATGATGACTGGCTTTCAGACCATCTTCTCAATTTTAAATAGCATAACTTTATATCATTAGGAGTAGGAAGATACCTTAGGCATTGGCAACATGCACACTGGCATCAAGACTTGACACCAACTTTCTCAGGATATTTCCTATTTGTGTCTGCATGGGGAACAAGGTTAAGCTTAAAATGCAGAGTTTGTCCTGCTGCTGCGCAGGCTGTGATGGTTGAGTGGTTTTGGTAGTGCCATGTACAGCTAAGTCTTCTTGAGAAGGAGTGAGCCAGATGCTGTGCACACTGGGGCTTGTGAGGACGATTTGCTAATCCTTCTCATGGTTCCTCTGTGTTTTTTCAGCATGGAAATTTTGCAGGGAGAAACACCTACAGTGCCCTCCTGTTTTCACACCCGAGCTGTGGCTGGGCTTACCTACAGCTAGGTTGGTAGACATGCATCAATGCTCGTCCTTGGTGTCCTGTCAGTCACTGTCCCTCTTGCTTGGCTTCTGCATGTATGTTGCGGCTTAAACACCGGGTGACGTGGGAAGACAGTGATATTTATGTTACATTTGTTGATTTTATTTTCAGAGCCTGGTTTGCAAGGCACTCTCCCGAATTATTATGCGAGGCTTGCTGAAGCTGGGAATACACAACGCCTGCCCAGAGGAGTGCTTGGAGGAACGTGGCTTGATCTCCCTCTTGTGGAAAATTACTGGAACTAAATTCTTGTGATACTGAAAAAGAGAAGTCCAGCATCCATCAGCGAACAAATAATGGCATCAGTTACTATGCCACCTGATGCTCTTGTTGATCCTCAAGGAAATGAAGAGATGGACGCTCTGATCGTCCTCCATTATAATTACACAGGAAAGCTTGGTTTAAAGGAAAAGGCATCGGATAAAATAGACCTGCCCGCTATTGCCCTTCTGGTCCTGTGTAGCTTCATAGTCCTAGAAAACTTGATGGTGTTGATTGCCATATGGAAAAACAATAAATTTCACAACCGCATGTACTTTTTTATTGGCAATCTAGCTCTCTGTGATCTTTTAGCTGGGGTTGTTTACAAAGTAAACATTCTAATGTCTGGGAAGAAAACTCTGAGCTTGTCCTCCACGATCTGGTTCATTAGGGAAGGCAGCATGTTTGTTGCCCTGGGAGCCTCCACTTTCAGCTTGCTAGCTATAGCTATTGAGCGGCATTTGACCATGATTAAAATGAGGCCTTACGATGCGAATAAAAAGTACAGAGTGTTCCTTCTCATTGGTACATGCTGGCTTATTTCGATTTCCTTGGGTGCCTTACCCATCCTTGGCTGGAACTGTATAAACAATTTACCAGACTGCTCAACAATTCTGCCTCTCTACTCCAAAAAGTATGTTGTGTTCTACATTAGTATCTTCATAGCCATTTTGGTTGCCATTGTCATCCTTTATGCCCGTATCTACATACTGGTTAAGTCCAGCAGTCGCAATGTCACCAACCACAATAACTCAGAGCGATCCATGGCACTCCTTAGGACTGTTGTGATCGTCGTTAGTGTTTTCATTGCCTGTTGGTCTCCACTGTTCATCCTGTTCCTCATCGATGTGGCCTGCAGGGTCAGGGAGTGCTCTGTCTTGTACAAAGCTCACTGGTTTATTTCACTGGCAGTCATCAATTCTGCAATGAACCCCATCATCTACACTCTGGCCAGTAAGGAAATGCGTCGGGCTTTCTTTCGCCTTGTTTGTGGCTGCCTGGTGAAATCCAGAGTGGCCAGATCTTTGCCTATTCAGCCCACACCAGATCACAGTCGAAGTAAATCCAGCAGTAGCAATACACAGAAGCCAAAGGAAGATTTCCCAGTGGTGAATGTTCCCTCCTGTATTGTTGAGAAAAATGAACCTTCATTTCACAATGGAAACTTCTGTAAGTAAAGGACTTCTCGAAACAAGTAATTTTCTGTGGCTTTTAGATTTAAACTACAAGTGTAGTTTAAATATTCATGCACTTAAGTCACAGGGGAAAACACTAACCACTTATTTAACTTTGAGGACTTATTTATCAACAATCAAATGCTTTGGGTGTTCATTCAGTAACACACCTGATTCAGAAGAAAACCTTTCACACTACCCAACAGCCAGGACAGAGTCCATGCACATCTAACGACTTCACATGCCACAGTGGCATGGCATGCTGGGGCTTTATTTGGCACTTCCTGATATTGCAAGACATCACTAAAACCTCTTAGAAAGTTCAGCATTCACTGAACACTGTTGACAATTAGAAAATGTGGCTGATTATTGCCCGCTGGGAAAAGAATTCATTACATATGTTGGTGATTATAGTTCTTGATATGTACCTTGCTGTTATGTTAATGGCCTTATATGTATGTGGTATAAATAGCTGTATATTTGTACAATTTCTTATTAAAAAGTCAGTGTTTGGTAAAAGTTTACAATATGCTAAACATTGTATTGCAGTATACAGTGTAAGGTGACTAATTATACAAATAGATGTGTTTCAATGGGGATATTTAAAATGAAGTAGTAGCTTTGTCAGAAACTTTAATATGTCATATAAATGCAGTATTTTTATTTTTTCCACTGTTACTCAAACTTTTCTTCAGTGAAAGACAACATGACAGTTGTCACTGTGGCATTTCACAACATACTTTAAGCAAGCAGTAGTAAGTAACCATTGAGAGAGGCTATGTACGTTTGCTATGTAGTTAAAATGTGACCCCACAATACATGTGTAACAAGTGTATGTACTGTTTCAATGCATTTATTTTTACTTACTATTTCCAATGTATTTAAAAAAAGTATGTCCAACCTATGTAAATCTGTGTACATTGTGAATGCACTACCTAAGCTGAGATCCTTCAGTTCTGAAACAGATATGTATAATTTCAGAAAGCAACGAACCACAGTGGGTTCCTGCGGAGTTCCTTCTTTCCTCTCCAGGAACTGCTACAGCATGGGATTGTGTTAGAAATTCTCCCTGGGATGAAGTTTAGCCAATGGGACCCTACTCTACCATCTCTGGACACTGGCAGATGCAAGAGGGAAGATGCAGTACAACAGGACCATGCTGAAGGGTGTATCTCAATTTATACCTGACCCTGCCTTCGGTCTGATATGAAAGCCTGTTTAATTTGGAAGATCTGGAGCCCCAGTCCCAGACTTTTCAGAGAAACCTAAGAACAGAGAAACTTGAATACAGCTTTATGGTTCATCACTGCCTTACCAGCCTAAGTACAGGATGGTGTTCAGCATCAAAGGGATTCCCTGAGACCTAGAACAGTTAAGACTTCATAAACACCTGGTTTCAGGTCCCTGTGATAGTGGCCTATGCTGCTTCCATTAATAGTACTTTATGACTGGAGGCTTCAGTGGAGTTTGATGGGAAATTCTGATACAAATTCCCATTGTCTTTCAGTAAGAATGTAAGCATCTAACTTTATTGGGCTCTTTCAAAGATTTGTATTCAATGTCTCAAAACACACCTTGCCTTATGCACAATCAGAAGTAGCTCGGGCTTTTTTAATACACAGCCTGAAAGAGCTCTTCCTTAGCTTTACTCTTGTCTTAATCATTTAAAGCAGCAGCATTAGTCTCTTCCCAAGTATGTATAGTGTTTAACTTGTGTTATGTGTGTAGCAAAAGCCTTTAAAATGTAGAGGTTTGCATTGCGATTATCTTTTACAAGTTAACAGTCTGCTTTTAAGTGTTTTATGCTGTAGTGTATAAGAACAAAGAACTGTATTTGAATTAAATAACTGTGAAAGAGAGTAGTAAATATGAAATAATTTCATCCAAAAATGTTGAATAGCAGTGCACTTAGAGAAGAAAAAAAACCTAAACCAAGCTAAACATGATATAAGTATACGGACTGCAGATAAAGGCTGCAGGCCGCAGTCTCTGTAGCTTTGTGAGAAATAGAACTGGTGACATTGCATTGCTATGGCACACTTAGGTTTTTAGATCTTACAGCACTATTTGGCTGTATTGTGGATGTTCTCCCCTGAAGTCGGGTCTTTGGAAACTGCCAGCTAAAATATTTGTATATTTCTAAATGTTAGTTCCCGAGGTAGTGGCACATGGCAGCATTCCTTGCTATTGTAGAGCAGACAGGCCTTAGGAACACAGCGGTTTGAGACAACATTGTGGCTGACCCCACACCAACCTTCATGGCAAGGATGTTAGATGATTCTTGCTATTTAGGTAAAAATAAAAATATAAATTTAATAGCCAAAGTCCAAGAAAATGCACGTAAAAGTGAGTTTTTACATCTGCCTTCTAGCCTTGTCACTGTTGGTGCAAGGTACATGTAATGCAAGCAGTTCCACTGTTGAAGGCCATGTGATTGCATGTCAGTACAAAACCTTTCAATTCTACCATGGATTTCTTCTCTTATTTTGGAGCTGTGGGGATATTTTGTTAGTTCACTACCCTGCTGTACTTGAGGCAGGTTTCTAAGTTTCATAGGTTCACATGTAATGCTGATAACATAATTTACGAAATACTTATGACTGAAGAGAAAAAAAGCCTATTTTTGATACAGTCTTCAGTGGGTACATCCCACTGGGAAGTATTAGATAAGGCATAGATTCTGGAGGATTTCAAAGCAGAATTTTAAATTACAGCAAGTCAACAGCAGCGGACCATAAACAACCAAGAAGATGACCCATCCTTGAGGATGGGAAGAGATGGAGAATATTTTCTTTTACCCAAAATATTAGAAAATTCCTTCAAACTACTCCCAGAATCCAAGCTTTTAATCATCTAGTCTGATTTAAGCATGCAAGAAACTGAATAGTCTCCCTTTCCAATTGGTTTTACATAGATCAAAAGCTACAAAGGAGACTAACATTTCATTCATATTATTTCATGAATTGGAATATTTATTTTGGTTTTGGATTACAAAATAAATGCTATTCCAACCACCTAAGGAGAAAATAAAGGTTTTCACAAACTGCTTTCTAAGAGTATTTTATTGCCAACCATCTTAGAGAGTATTTTCAACTCATTAGGTACCATAAACATTTTGAAACTTGTAATAAAAAAAATCTCAAACCTTTGAGCTGAAGTTGTCCTGTAGCAGTCATTTTTTAAAGAATTGTAAGACAGGGTTTTGGCTTTCTGTGGAAAACGCATTTAAACACTGGATGTCGTGTCTGAAGGCAATGTCCATGGGAACACTGTGCAGCCAAAGGTGGCAAGCTGTGCCTCTGCCATCCCTAGGGTTGGAGAAACGTTTTGCCCCTGCTTTCTGGGAGCAGTCTCAGGCCTTTGGTCCATCTGCTTGGAGAGCTCTCTGCTCCAGCCATACCACGTAAGGCTGCTCCCTGGAAAGGCACATTTTCCAAGGAGCGACCATAATGAGGGTGTTGTGCTGCCTGCAAGGCTCGTTGTTTCCAGCTGCTCTAGTAAGGAAATAGAAAACACACCTGTGTGTAAAGGGTAAGGTACCAAAAGTTGGGGTCCTGAGAGTGACTGGTTAGTCAGTCAATCACTGCTGAGTGATGTGCTGGTGTCCACCTGCAGGTGCCATTTCATTCACTAGCACAGCTGAGGATGCTCCCAGGAGGAGCTGGGGAACCTAGACTGTGCTGGGCCCAGAGACATTCCATTCTCATGGTCAAACTCAGGGGGGACAGGCACAGTAGAATTGATCAGGGTTTTCTGTTTGGCCACCATGGAGCCCTGAAACTTGCCACTAACTGACACCTGAAGTGGGCTGAAGGCACTATTCAAATGCATGCAGGTGCCCCTGCTGCCTTCATAGCTGCATTTCTTCACCCTAGGAGCGGTGTAAGTTCCCAGGACGTCCTCAGGCTCAGCTTTTCTCCAAGAGGATAAGAGGGAAGGAAGAGCCTTTGCAGGGAGACACTTTGTCAGTGGAGGAAGAAGATTTGGGGAACATCAGCCCAGCTAAGCTTTCTGCTGATACGGAGACTTTTTCCTCCCCACGGTACACTAAGTGGCTGCTCTTGTATGGACCTTGTCCTTGCTATCACTCTCCAAAGAAAGACCATAGAGTGAGCTACCCTTGGCTATCCTTGTGTATTCAATGTACCAAATAGGAAAGGTAACTTCTCTGGAGAGGTCATCATCTGGCCCAGAAAAAGGGCTGGTGTGAGTGATTACTTATGTTGTGAAAATGATATTTGTCAAAAACAAATTCATGGAGCTCAGTGTGGCCTCTGTCAAAGTAAGTGGAGCTCCTGTAGTGTAAGGTCAGTGTAACTGAGGTCCAACTCCTTATGTGCCATTCGGTCCTCTGACATTTTTCATCCCCAATTCTACTGGGTTGAGTAATCAATTGACTTGTTAATATTCAATATCCAGGAAAACCCTGCAGAATTGCACTTATTCTGCTGCAAAATGCACCTCCTTTCAGTCAATTGAAAAAAAAATACCCCAACCCAAACCAACAAATTAGGCCATTAGGGAACCTGAGCATAGGGGGAACAGACTCAAGCGCACGTTACATGCATTTCAATCTAGCAGTAGTGCTCACTGTTTTATTACTTTGGTTAAACATATACAAACTGAATAATCAGAAAACAGTTGCAGAACACTTATATTCCAAACTATATTGCTCAAGGACTTCCTCAGAGACAAAATTTGCCTCTATAGCCAGAGTACCACTATCAGCAGACAGGCAAAAACTTGAGATTCACAAAAGTGGTTGGGAATATAAATGATCACAATATTTCCACATACATTATTTTTTCTGCAATTCTCAGTTAAAAAGGTTTCTAAAAGTAATAAATATTAATAAATAACAATTGTACAGTAAAACTCCCTTTTACAGCAAAATAGTTCACTTTTTAGTTTTCATGTTGCTGCCCACACAATGCAAAGAAAAACATTTACCTTGAAAGAAGAAACTGTCTTCTTTCAAGATTAAACTCTGCAGTACCTTACTG